CGAAAATAAAAACTCCCTCCCTGTCGACAAAATATGTAAACCTAAGAAAAATGAAATCGGGTACGAGCATATGGATATGACTTTTTTCATTATCCCTTTTCCTATCGTCACAATAAACGCCAATTAACGATCATGCTGTACTGTAACAGACCGAGTAGAGTACAATACTGATTCTATTGAACTAGTCCAATATAGGTTTTAAAGGTATACCGTCCAATATAATTCATTATTGTACTCAACAATGTATAATAACACCATAATGAATAACAACTTATTAATATTTGTTTTTATACTATAATGTTTTACATATAAGATTAATTCAAGTGTAAATCCTATTATATTTCTACAAGTAGTAATTATATAAATACATAAATTCTGTTCTCGAACATAAGCACGTGTCCATACAGCAATAATTTTATAATTATATCGACATTATACTTTCACTTGATGTTAACTGCACTTGAAGGAATAAAACTGCAATAAAATAATAATTAAATTATTGTTAAAGGGCATTATGCGATATTATATATGCAATAAAACTTTATGATAATTATTCCTTATTACCTACATGCAATTATTCAATATAAAAAATATAAATAAAAAATATAACTACAGCTGCAATTTTGTATTAAAGCTTGACGGCAGTAATTGCCCTAATGATATTTTATGTTAGAGGACATACCATTCTGTGTCCTGTGTCAACGTTATAAAACTTTTTATTGATATAGATATCAAAGATAAAAATTAAAAATAAATAAATAAATAAATAAATAAAATAAATAAATAAATAAATAAATAAATAAAAATAGATAAATAAATAAATAAATAAATAAATAAATAAATTAATATAATGGAATAAGTGAATGAATGAATGAATGAATGAATGATAAAACATAATAAATAAATAAATAAATAAATAAATAAATAAATAAATAAATAAATAAATAAATAAATAAAAATATTATATCGGAAACTGTAACAGGACACCAGAAATAAAAGGGCTTTTGGGAAATAGGAATTATATTTTATTTTGAGGCTTCATGTTATGGGCCTTTAACGAAATAGTTGTGTAATATTATAATGTTTTATAATTTTATCTTTTTTTATTTAAACATGACTTTAAATAACATTAAAAACTGTATCTAGACATGATAACATGATAAAGGTTTACCATCATCTTATTTGTATGCTACAGTTGACAATGTCGTGTAGAAATGTGCACAGTAAAACATGTTATCTTTTAAAGCTTCGTTTTTGCATAAAAATGGACTCATAAAATGTCTAAAGTAATTAGATTACAGCTGATATATGTGTGCATCTTGCGCTTTGTTCTAAATTTGAAAGTGGAAATTATAAACACAGAAAATTCATATTACTGCACAATAATGAGAACCTACAGAAATAACTCATAAAAAACAAAATAACTCATAACAAACAAAATAACTCATAACAAACAAAATAACTCATAACAAACAAAATAACTCATAACAAACAAAATAACTTATAACAAACAAAATAACTTATAACAAACAAAATAACTCATAACAAACAAAATAACTCATAACAAACAAAATAACTCATAACAAACAAAATAATGCATAACAAACAAAATAATGCATAACAAACAAAATAACTCATAACAAACAAAATAACTTATAACAAACAAAATAACTTATAACAAACAAAATAACTCATAACAAACAAAATAATGCATAACAAACAAAATAATGCATAACAAACAAAATAATGCACAATTTCGTTAAACTGAATGGCAAAATCGAACCTAAAGAACATTTTTAAATAATTATACTGTTTAGAATGCATCGACATTTATTACATGATTTTTATAAATTAAAATATAATGCTATAATTCTAAAACAAATCTTCGTTTTAAAGTGGTATTGATGTTTAAATATGGAGATAAAGTCTAGAAATAATGTTCCAATCGTCACAGTTTGTCATAAAGTAACGTACTTACTAATTGTATTTTAATTTGTTACACAAACACACCAGTACCTGTCCATCACTATGTCACTTTATTAAACTTGCTGACAAAACATAAACTTATCAAACTGTCATTTTCTTCTTTTTTTAGGAAAAAATAGAAAAGAATAATTTACAGCATGTCATCATAAAACGTTCTCTACTAAAATAAATATTTCACTCATAATTTTATAATATCTTGATTTTATTTAAATATATAAGAATGTCTTAAATATGTTAAAAATGACATTTTTTAACGTATAGATCTACAAACTTGACAAATTTCACCCAGAAACATCCCACTGTACCAGCACAATGTATGCCCAATGAACGCCCTATGTACCAGCACAATGTATACCCAATGTACTCCCTATGTACCAGCATTAACGCCCTATGTACCAGCACAATGTATGTCCAATTTACGCCCAATATACAAGCACAATGTATGTCCAATGTACGCCCAATATACCAGCACAATGTATGCCCAATGTACGCCCAATATACCAGCACAATGTATGCCCAATGTACGCCCAATATACCAGCACAATGTATGTCCAATGTACGCCCAATATACCAGCACAATGTATGCCCAATGTACGCCCAATATACCAGCACAATGTATGTCCAATGTACGCCCAATATACCAGCACAATGTATGCCCAATGTACGCCCGATGTACCAGCACAATGTACGCCTAATGTACCAGCACAATGTATGCCCAATGAACGCCCTATGTACCAGCACAATGTATACCCAATGTACTCCCTATGTACCAGCATTAACGCCCTATGTACCAGCACAATGTATGTCCAAAGTATGCCCAATATACCAGCACAATGTATGTCCAATGTACGCCCAATATACCAGCACAATGTATGTCCAATGTACGCCCAATATACCAGCACAATGTATGCCCAATGTACGCCCGATGTACCAGCACAATGTACGCCTAATGTACCAGCACAATGTATGCCCAATGAACGCCCTATGTACCAGCACAATGTATACCCAATGTACTCCCTATGTACCAGCATTAACGCCCTATGTACCAGCACAATGTATGTCCAAAGTATGCCCAATATACCAGCACAATGTATGTCCAATGTACGCCCAATATACCAGCACAATGTATGCACAATGTACGCCCGATGTACCAGCACAATGTACGCCTAATGTACCAGCACAATGTATACCCAATGAACGCCCTATGTACCAGCACAATGTACGCCCGATGTACCAGCACAATGTACGCCTAATGTACCAGCACAATGTATACCCAATGTACTCGCGATGTACCAGCACAATGTATACAGAATGTACGCCCAATGTACCAGCACAATGTATACCCAATGTACTCCCGATGTACCAGCACAATGTATACAGAATGTACGCCCAATGTACCAGCACAATGTATACCCAATGTACGCCCAATGTACCAGCACAACCATTAACAGTCAGCAAAGTGTTTCCAAAATTATGTATATTTATATAAACACGTATTCTCTTAGCCAATTTTCGGTCATCGTCACATTGTTTATCGATAGAAACTGAGCGATATAGTTGTATTGAACGTGATTATAGATATTGTCAATTTTGTGAATGTGTACAAGAAAACGAGTACCATTTTGTACTCATTGTTCACTCTACTCTGATATAAGACACAGTGATTATTTCTTGAAATCTTTCATATATAAATTTTATAAGCTAATGTCATCTGAACATATTGACACTATTAGGAAATTAACAACCTTTCTATATGTAGCGCTTAGGGAACGAATACTTTTTTTGACAATGTTAAGATAATAAGTACTGCTAAATGAATTCTATACTTTTTCTATTATATACTCTGTCATTTTGCTAAACGTAAATTTATTATGTCTTAAACATGTCTGATTTGTAACATCCATAGAAATGTATTTATATTATAATTATTTATGTGTGTATGGGTCTGTGGCCTTATAATTGCTGTCATTGTCTCTGCTGTCTCCATGTTTTGTTTGAAATATTTGCTTTAAAAAGAAAAATTCATGAAATACCTGTATGAAAGAAATTTGTTGATATATTTATGAGCGAATTGTGATTTCACGAGATCCTACTTAAAAAAACCTGCAAAATATTTTATTCTGGAAGATTTTATTCTATATAAGTACAGTAATCATGTGTGTTAAAAGCTTTACAGCTCAGCACCAAATATCTTACCACAAAATTCTGAAGAGTCAACTATTTATAAACACTCAAACCGCGAAACCCTAACAAGTTGTTAGTTGTTAGTCAACTCATTATAAAAAGTCTTATCACAAAATATCCACAACGCAACTCATTATTAACATTCTTACCAAAAACCCCACAACGCAACTAATTATAATAATTATTCTTACCAAAACCCCCACTACGTAACTCATTATTAACATCCTTACCACAACCCCCTTCCCCCCTACAACATAACTCATTATAAATATTTTTACCACAACCCCCATAACGTAACTCATTATTTACATTCTTACCAAAACCCCACAACGTAACTTATTTTAAACCATTACCAAAACCCCCACAACGTAGCTCACTATTAACATTCTTACCACAACCTCCACAACGTAACTCATTATTAACATTCTTACCACAACCCCCAAAACGAAACTGATTATTAACATTCTTACCACAACCCCCACAACGTAACTCATTATCAATATTCTTATCACAACCCCAGCGACATAACTCATTATTAACATACTTACCACAACCCCCACAACGTAACTCATTATTATCATTCTTACCACAACCCCCAAAACGAAACTCATTATTAACATTCTTACCACAACCCCTACAACATAACTCATTATTATCATTCTTACCACAACCCCAAAGACGAAACTGATTATTAACATTCTTACCACAACTCCTACAACGTAACTCATTATAATTATTCTTACCACAACCCCCCCCCCCCCCACAACATAACTCATTATGAATATTCTTACCACAACCCCCACAACATAACTCATTATTAACATTCTTACCGTGAATCCCCCACAGCTAAGCTCATTATCATTAATATTTATTGTTGTATTATATCCTCTTCTCCACATAGATGATCTAGACGGCGGCTCCCATAATCTCCCATGTCCACTTGTAAAGTCAAACACGCCAACTAGCAGCTGAATCACGTTCAGCACAGCCAGTCTTAACATCCGATGTCTACAACCACCCATGTTCATCATTGATACGTTTATAGATAGTCCAAAGTTAAAAACAGAAACATTCAATGTTCTGTTATCTTATAATCTTATTTTATTTTGTCACACTGTTTCAACTATATATAAATAGATTTCACTGTATTAACCCATTATTTCTTATTTTATATATTTATCTTTACTCTGTTAACTGCTGCGTATTTGTGTTTCCTGCATTTTCTCAGTTTGTTTAAATCAAACAAAACACTTTATTTAGACTTTATAGTAATTAAATGTAGTTTCTATATTATGATAAATTGTACAATTAATGTTAACTGTGCTGTCCAAAAAGTTTAAATTGCTTCGCAGTCTGTGGTCTTGAGGCTCTAAAGTTTCAACTAATGCAACGTCTGTTTGGTGTAATTGCAAAAAAACCTCTTTCCATAAATGTCTGTTGTTAATCAGGAAATATATCCTTACTTAAAAACCTGCAAACTTTTTTTTTTATAATTCATTCTGACACATGAAATAAAACAATATTATTTCCATGTTAAATCAATTTAAATTGTTATTAAATGTTTAACTATTATTCTAACAGTGAAATCAAAGTTTATAATTAAGAATATCATTTAAATGTTTTAAATAATCCATGTATATCATTATAAATCAATTAAGTTATAATGGTTTAATCAAGTCCTCGTATATACTGTGCTGAGATCACAAACGTTACAGATATAACTCACAAGTACTCGCCATAAAACAAAACAAATTAATGTAGTTGTAACGTTAAAGTCAGTCAACTTTTGTTTACGGGAGTAAACACTTTACGATAATTAACCCCACTATAAGTTAGTTCATTAGTGATGCTTAATTAACGTGGAGATTTTTTGTATAAGAGCTAACAATATTTGATTTATTGAGATACACGAGCCGAATACAGAACAAAAACAATAAAAATAGTAAAGAAAACAACAAAAAAACCGGTTACTTTTAAAGCATCATTCCTCCATATTCATGCTAATTTTAATGATTTTTTTTTGAAAATGTATTTATTTTTTAATGTATAATGCTGTGAAATATTCAAAGAAAGTAATTTATATATTGCAACAACTCTTACAATCAACATTAATTACCAGAAAGAGTTAAAATACGCAAAAATAGCCCAAACAGCGTTAGTCGCGAAGTAGAAATCCGGTGATGATTTCTACAATTTCATTAATCGCACACGACATGTAAATTATTACTTAAACTCATTTTTTAAATTTTTTTTCTCAAAATTTTAGTACATTTTTCTCAAGTTTGATTTTCTTCTCATAGAGGCGTGCGGTTTTAACTTTTTAAGGGAAATGTCAAAAGTAAATTATCCAGCATTTGTGAAATAATGGATAAAGAATTAAATTCCAATAATTATGATCATTTTAGAATTTATCTAAGGTACAAAACTTTCAATACTGATACGCAAGTTCATCCGGAAATTGTGTAACAAAATTGATGTGAACATATTATTGGTGAAATACATGCATATTTTCCAAGAAGAACAGGACTTGCAACAGTGCATGCTATTACTGCAGAACTTCAGTGATGTTTTCTTTCATATATTTATATTATTTTATATGTTTAAACATGTGAAGCCAGGATCTTTTTTGTATAGGTTTACGCCTGGTATTTCAAATGATATAAGTTTAACAGTAAATTTATATACATGTAGTTACAACGTATAACTTTGGGTAATATATATGATATAATTTTTTATGAAGGAGATACATTTCTTATTTTATACATGCACAAAGAAAAGAAATACTGAATGTAATATTCCTGAATATTAAAATTATTCCTAGCGTCTGATGTCCGTGTTTTAGACATTTTATATATTATTACTTATATTTCTTATAAGCCCAGTTTTATGTTTTATTTAAATAAACATTCGTATGCATTGGAGAACAGGGGTGTCTTATTTTTTAAGCATAAACCCTAACCATAAAAAATGTAAGCGTTTTAAAAAAAGTGAATAACGATGAAAGTATAAAAATAAGTCCCGATGGCTGTTTTAACGGTTATTTCTAGTAAATGTTTAAGTATCAGAAAGTAGCACTTTCTATTTTGTAAGGTACATTTATTGGTACATATTATATAAACTCGGGGAAATATGTATGAATATAATTTCAAAAAAGGAGAAAGAGATGAATTTCGTAATTTATTTTTGTAATGTTCGTAAACAAGAACACATTTATTTGACATGCTTTTCTAATGTGTGTGTTAAATTTATGATGTACATAAATCACGTATGCACGTTTTTGGCCGGACTGCCAAATATGACACTTGTTTGTTTAATAGATCATTTATCATTATAAAATATTTTACTGGCGGTGGTAGGGGGGAGGGGTGGATTTGTTTAGATACTAAAACCGCTTATATGAAGCTTCAGTAATTTAAATATTTTGTAAAATTTATATATCAAATGTTTCCAGAACCATTGCTAGACTTCACCTATCATGTGCGCAGTAACGTAATGGTCATGACACAAATTATCTTCTATGATTTGTCGAATTAATTGTTGTTGATGATGATCTTTATTATTGACCAGAACACCAAATTTTCAATACAGATATTTTATTTGTATTTTACTATGGTATATTTTCATATGCTACCTTCTTAAAATAAAGTATGACTAGATTAATGTTTAAATGGTATAATTAGGGGGCAGGGGACATATCCGAATGATGGCCCCGGTCAATTTTTTTTAATAAGTCAAACATGATGTTTTGAAGGTACTGGAAACTTCTGACATTTCTCTGTCATTGTAATTCTTTCTTGTTTGTGTGTAGGAAATGAGAAGGTTTTTTTTGGTTTTTACCCGAAACTAAGCATTTTGGTAGCTTTGTACGTATTTGTGACTCTCCGAATGGAGGTGAAAAAGTTAAAAATCAAGGTTTGACAGTTGGCACCAAACAAGTAAGAAATTTCGGATAAATTTTGTGAAAAATCTAAACATATGACAGACACTTTATTGGTCATTTTTGAAAATGCCATAGATTGCACAGCGTGTTAGTGATATTTTAAATGAATCGGGCGGATTCTGGAGTATGTTGCACCTTCATGAAGATTGCCCATATTGGCATATTTTAGGTGTGATTTTGGCTGGGTGGGGGTAAATATAAATTGCTGTCAGTCATTTATGTAAGGAGCAATGCATGCAAACAATTATTTCTTCAATATATGTCATATATCATTGAATAATGCTTTGCAACTGGTTATCTGCCTGTGAAACAGATTTTGAAATATTTGGAATTGTGTTTCTGGCAACACTGAAATACAAAAGTGTTAATATACGAGTAAATACAACGGCTTCAGGAATACTCATTCATGCCAATTCAGCTTCTGCAAAATTTGTAATTACTGGATAAAACTCCGTTCGCTTAAATCGCCATTTCAGCTGAAAGAATTGGTTAGAGGTTTTGTCTATTGGGATAATTTTTGTACCGTTTCTGTAATGGTTTATTCATGATATTTTGCCTTGGAGCACATATTTCAATAAATTTCCTCGGCTTTCGGTGCGGTTGCATATGTACAGGTGGTAAATTATAAATTCGCTATTATTAAATAAATTAACAAGATGGTTTTTATCTATTTTTTATTGTGAATATGTTTTACTTATTCAAAACTAAGAACTTCAGAATTTTGGAATATGGTGCAGACGTCATCTTTGAATTAACTGAATTACATATAACCGGATAAAATGTTGCTACCAAACACTCTTAAGGTATATTACGTTAAAACGCTATATTATTTTAATATTTGAATTAATACATTTTTCAACACCTAAGTTCCTTTAGTAAGTAAATAAATTACAAAATACATCTTTTATTACTAAATTCTACATTTTGTCGACAGTATCTGTTCATCAACTAGACATTTTTTATTTTAAACTTTCACTTTTAAATCAAGTTTTTGTTTTGTCAAACGACACCTGTGGAATAATGACAGAGCGTAAAGTATATAACTGGGTCACTAGATAAACTATTCTGTTTTATGTAAAGTTCCCGGACATTTAATTAATTAAACATTTACTGTCATAATGGAGGTAATGGGGTTAAACTTTAATTATTTGTACTTAATAACGTGACAATGTACACCTGATCACCACGAATAAAACTAGTTACAAGTTACAACAGTTTTAATTTTAGCTTTTTTTTATCAAACCAAGGCGTAGCCCCTGAGTATAAATCACATTGCCGAGTGTTTTGATGTTCTTTCTTTTTTGTATCATTGGCAAAAATAAAAGCACGTACCCTGTCGACACAATATGAAACTCGGTAGCCATTTTATCAAGTTTGCCACGAATTTTCTCGCTTGAACATTTCACGTCCTGTCCCTTGAATATCTGCATTCCTGTGTGGGACTCTGACACATTTTCAATAGCAAAAATCTCCAGACTATGATAAAATTTCCTATTACCTGCACTGTATTGATATGTTATTATATTTGATACATTGGGGAGCACTTGACCTCTTTTTGATACATGGAGGGAACATGAAATATGAAAACCGTACATGATTGGAAAATTGATATTATATAAGTTTCTTTTATAACTATTTGTAAATAATTCTATAGAGAAATATACACGGGGAAAATCTCTATAAGATAAAAGAATATAGTGCTGAAATAAAAGAAAATGAATAAAAATAAAATAAATACAGGAAATTTCATCTTAGTCTTATATATGAGTGGTCAATTCATCATGCCATTATTTTGATTTCTGATAATAAAGTTAAATAATAAAAACGGCTTTATTTATATAAATTTAGCTTTATCAATCACCCTCAGATTTATCAGACACCTCATTAATATTGAAATAAAATAAAGTGCATGGAATATGTTTACCTCTTACAAGTTTGGAAATATTAAACTGATAAACTTTGAATATACTAGAAGTTTTCAATATTAAAATCTCTCTTACATATGACTGAAAACATTTCGAATTATTACTTACTGATAAGACCTAGGCATATTACTGCGCGTGGCATTTTAAATAGATACGTTCTTGACAGGTATCGGTTTCATTTGAAATTCAAACGCATTTTGAAATTGAAAACATGATAAATAGAAGGACAGGACAGGACAGGGCTCTTTCTTTCAAATTTGCCTGACAAATTTTGTGCAAGGTATTCCCTACTTCTCCGGTAATTGATAGTTTACTTTCTCACGTTACCAATGTTTTCTTATCAGCGTTTGTATTTTATAATGTTATTTTTAACGTTATTTTTTTCGCTGCAAGAGACTTTTAGCTTGTTGTTAATAAGAAGCCGTTTCTTTGGTTTAATGGAGATGAGTCATATTGTAAATTATTGTGAAAAATGATGCATATACGACTGTAAAAAAGGTTATTTCATCGCAGAAATTACTAGATACATTCCAAAAATGTCAACGTAAATAAACTATACACAATTACATGTTGGATTCGCATCACATCAGAAAGAATTTGCATCACATAATATCATAATGGATTAATTATTGTTATATCATTTACATCATTTAAACGTGATTGGAAGTGAAATTTCTTATGTTAAAACTATTTAAATGTTTTACTTCCAGTCAATATTGTCCGCCTAAGTCTGCGAGCGACATTTACCTTATTCAAAACATCTTGCTAATTATCAATAATCTTCTCGGAAATAGAAGTTCAACCACGTGACTTTTTATGAAAAATGAGTAAAATATACGTATATTCTCATGACAATTGTTGAAAAAATGCGCCAAATCCGAAATATTGTAAACTCGTGTATGTAATTTATACTTTCGGACCTCTAAAGCACAATAATTAGCAAATAGATAATGTACTTGCAAAACTGTAACCCACTGACTCACTGCCATAACTATTTAGTTAGCTATAGGTTGGACCAATGATCCTCACGTGCCAGATCTATTTAATTAGTATTAAGTTTGTAGCTTGAAATACAGACTTGTACATTGAGAATTTGAAGCAATTCTGCTCATTAACGATGTTGTTTGAAATACAATATACGCATAACCTTTTTGCTTGATTTAAACTCAGTTAAAATAGGTCACGGAGTATATCCTCATCCATATTCTAGTATTCTGTGGTCTATATTCATTTTTGTCACAAACATCACTGGCCTTTATGATCTTTATTTACTGATTCCTTATGGTTTTATATATTGTATACCAAAATGGTATTTGTCTTACTACAACCTAGTTATGATTGCATATTTCAAGCACGGTCTACCAGTTATATATGTAATATTCTACTGTTGAAATTCTATCGTTTTAATATGTTTTCTGTTTTCCAATATGTTTATATTAAAATATTGTTTAATTCGTATATGAACTGAGAAACAAATTTTCCTTACATTTTTAAAATATTTCGTTGATGTACATTTGACCAGCTCTCCCATTTATCATATATAATTAGAGTGAAACAATTAAAGTCATGGGCTGGCAAACAAGGTCATTTATAGCGGCTATAAAGTTCAGATTCTGTTAGATACTATTACTCTTATAAATGTAGCTACTGTAATTATTTCTCTCGGATCACTTACCACAGTCAATATAATAACTCAGTATGATCATTAACAACACCTTTCTTATAAATCTTTATTGTTACAACTCATAAAAATGTACATAAATTATCATTTAAATATTCTAATATTAGACGTTAGAAATTTTTACAAAACCATCAAATATAACAAAAACTAAGACTACGTGTACAGCACAATAAGGTGAATAATCGTTATGTTGTAACTGACTTTACATCGTTCACACGAGAACTGGTCAAACTTTATATTAATATATTGTTATAATATAACACATTATCAAAGTAGGTTGCTGGATAACATTTCAGATAATAGGTCACTGGGCAATGCACGTCATAGCTAACTGGGTCACTATTCAGATAATAGGTCACTGGGTAATGCACGTCATAGCTAACTGGGTCACTATTCAGATAATATGTCACTGGGCAATGCACGTCATAGCTAACTGGGTCACTATTCAGATAATAGGTCACTGGGTAATGCGCGTCATAGATTACTGGGTCACATTTAGATAATAGGTCACTGGGTAATGCACGTTATAGGTAACTGGGTCACATTTAGAAAATAGGTCACTGGGTAATGCACGTCATAGCTAAATGGGTCACTATTCAGATAATAGGTCACTGGGCTAATGCACGTCATAGTTAACTGGGTCACTATTCAGATAATAGGTCACTGGCTAATGCACGTCATAGGTAACTGGGTCACATTCAGGTGATATGTTGTTTTATTTAGGTCAAAGGTTACTAGGTCACATTAAGGTCATCTAATTTCCAGTGTAATTCCCGTGACTTAGTTCGAGAACGTGATCTCAATTTGAAGGTCATAGATAGAATTCTCTATGTTATTAGAACATACTCACGTGATCTATTCAAGATTCATTTACACGTTTAAAAATGCATCTGATTACCAACGTTAACCATCCATAAAGATTTTCCAGCTTTGATAAAAGACAATAATACAGGCATAAATGACTCCTGTGAAATTTTTGACCCCGGGGACTTCCGGAGAAGAGTTTAATTTGACCTAAGTGACAATATTAGAAATCAAGCCCCTACTTCTTTCGTTTTACATGTTTTAGATTCTCAAGTCAAGATAATACAAAACAAAATGACCACGGGAAAGAAACGATTTGGACCCGATAATCATGTTCCAAAATTTGTAGGTGATTGTTAGATGAATCAAGTCCTGGTTGATGCGGTTCAAATAGTTCTATATAGTTCTATAGGAAAGAATAACCGACGCTTTTGGTAATACAAAATTTCATTTCAGTTGCAAATTAATAAATTTGGTAGACAAGAACAATGCCAATTATGAAACTTTTTGACAGTGGTTTAAGACAAAAATAAATTCTTGAAAGATTTTCAACTTTTAAGTATATTCAAACTGTTTACCTTCGTCGATGTGTCAATATAGACATTGCTGACCGTCGTGGCCGGAACATATTAGAAACTTGTGATCCTCGTTGCAGAATCTTTATAGAAATAACGGAACCACGATGATGAAAACACGACATTATATCGAGTTTTCACCATTGCGGTCTCGTTATTTCGACTTTTCATCATCGTACTCTCGACTTTTCCTCATCGTATATCCGATTTTTCACCATTGTGGTTTCGTTATTTCAATTTTTCACCATCGTATCTTAGTTGCTCCCAGTTATGTATGTGTCGCGATGGCCCTAACGAGACAACTTACACAACATGATTAAAAATACAATGTTCTTAATAGTTATGACATCATTCTGCTGTGAAAATTTCGTATAACTGATAATAACACGATTTGAAAAGATGCAGGACCAATATATATGTTATATTATACATATCATAGCTGTAATACTGTTTAACTGAGAATATTTTTCTTCAGATTTTATCTATATTAATCTACATTAATCAGGTAACCCTCGGGACTGGTGCCGGGCGGGGTGTGTATTTAAAAAACTTTTTGAAGATGTTGAGAAAATTCACATTTTCACCGATAAAGGTGACTGACCTTTACCTTTTTGGACAGCCTTATTTCATATTCATGCACGTTACATGCTGGGGAAATTTATCAGGTTTGTCCGAGAAATGTAACAGTAAATATCATTTGAAGTAATCGAGTATTATCTCCGATATAATATAATTTTATATTACTTTATATGATAATAATTAAGACTGTTTGAATGCATGTACCCATGGATAAAGGAACGTATACCCGAGAAATGATAGCATATTTCACAAACTAGTATGTCACCAATTCCTTTTAATGATGTATTTTGTATTATTTTCGTCATAATATTTTTCCTGTTGAGATAGATATGATATTTATTTGAAAGTGATTAAATGATATACACAAACGTACATTTATTTTTTGTGAATGGGTCAATGCACAGACTGCGCTATTAACGAAAAAAAGTTTATTATACAATTCATAAAATAATACAATTTTTTTCCTTTGTTCGATATACTCCTTTTATTTTGTACATCTTATATAGGTCCAATGTATACGACACAGTACTTGTACACCTTACACTTTAATTGTCGATTGTACACCTACTAGTTTCATTGTATACAACGTCGTACTGGTGTATACCACATCGTACTGGTGTATACCACATCGTACTGGTGTGTACCATATCGTACTGGTGTATACAACATCGTACTGGTGTATACCACATCGTACTGGTGTGTACCACATCGTACTGGGTGTATACCACATCGTACTGGTGTATACCACATCGTACTGGTGTATACCACATCGTACTGGTGTGTACCACATCGTACTGTATATACCACATCGTACTGGTGTATACCACATCGTACTGGTGAATACCACATCGTACTGGTGTGTACCACATCGTACTGGTGTGTACCACATCGTACTGTATATACAACATCGTACTGGTGTATACCACATCGTACTGGTGTATACCACATCGTACTGTATATACAACATCGTACTGGTGTGTACCACATCATACTGGTGTATACCACATCGTACTGGTGTGTACCATATCGTACTGGTGTATACCACATCGTACTGGTGTATACCAAATCGTACTGTATATACAACATCGTACTGGTGTGTACCACATCGTACTGGTGTATACCACATCGTACTGGTGTGTACCATATCGTACTGTATACCACATCGTACTGGTGTATACCACATCGTACTGTATATACAACATCGTACTGGTGTTTACCACATCGTACTGGTGTGTACCACATCGTACTGGTGTGTACCACATCGTACTGTATATACAACATCGTACTGGTGTATACCACATCGTACTGGTGTATACCACATCGTACTGGTGAATACCACATCGTACTGGTGTGTACCACATCGTACTGGTGTATACCACATCGTACTGTATATACCACATCGTACTGGTGTATACCACATCGTACTGGTGTATACCACATCGTACTGGTGTATACCACATCGTACTGGTGTATACCATATCGTACTGGTGTATACCACATCGTACTGGTGTATACCACATCGTACTGGTGTGTACCATATCGTACTGTACACCCTAACTCATAACATAACCGTTCAAGTGTACACGGTAGTGTACTATTGTACACCTAACAATTCTATCATATACCACAACTAATGTCACCTCACAGTAAAAAACACTGTCCTAATTTCACCTCACAGAATACGTCACTTCCCATGGTTCATGAACTCAGAGTTTTTGCATATCAAACTCCTACACAATGCATGTTTTACTTATTTACAAAGTATACAGGTATAATGGATAGTAAAAATATATCTTTCAACAATATAACAAATATAAATAAATGACAAATAATGGTTTAAAAATATGAAATGTTGTAAAAACATTTGGCATAGTTATCATATCTAAAACAAGTAACAACAAATAAATACGAACAAAACATGGTTATAGGATAACATATCTCAATTTAATAATTCATTGCTGCCCCTCTTCCTTGATCTCAAGTTTTTCTCTGAAACCAGAAACAACAATAATGTTATTGCCATTTCCATAGAAGATTTGCAAATAAAAATCTGTAAAAAAAGTCATAAACATGATATGTGAAACATTCAAACTGCTTCATGTACAAAAAAAACGGAAATATATCACATTACAAAAACTCTATATATTACAGAAACTCTTTAAATTACAGAAACGCTTTACATTAGAGAAACGCTTTAAATTACAGAACCACTTTACATTAAAAACCTCTATAAATAACAGAAAACTATATATATTATATAAACTCTATATTTTACAGAAACTCTACATTACAGAAACTTTATATATTACAGAAACTCTATACATTACATAAAGTAGAGGAACTCTTTATATTAAGAAACTGACAACTTTGATTGACGTGTAATAGGGAACACTGCTTCCCACACATAGTTTCTTCATTCAGATCAAAAATATTTTGTAAGATTTGCAATAAATATTCGTGATTAAATTACTTTACTTAAGGATGAGCATAGTACATCTTTATAGGTGTACTTAGTTAAAATGTTATATATCTTGAGTGAACAGATAAGTCGAGATGTTATATAAGTGTACAGATAAGTTAAGATGTTTTATAATACTGCACGTTTGTAACGTCATTTTTCATTGGATAATCGTGACGTTTATATGGTTTTATATACACGGCTGCTGTTGATTCATGAACAAATCTTACTTTTTTCTCAAAAAAATGATGCTTGCTGTATTATAAATTCGTTATAAAGATTGTTGACAGGTTATATGGCCGTATATAAACGGCTGTTTGCAATATAACCCTCGCCTTACGGCTCGGGTTATCTTTACAAATAGCCGTTTATATAGGGCCATATAACCTGTCAACGATGTTTATAACTAATAATATATATATGTACAGATAAGTTAAGAAGCTTTATGCCTGTTCATATAAGTTGTTATATAAGTTAAGGTGTTATACACCTGTACGGATAAGTTAATATGTTATATACCTGTACATATAGGACAACATTCTCCTGACGGTCTGTATTGTTGTTTACAATCTAAAGGTTGACATCTTTGTTTTCTACATCGAGCTTTTCCATTCTAGAATGTATGATGGGTAGATTACTTTATAATTATAACTGTGACTAAAGGTTGATTATCTTAAGGTAATTCCTATGTCGATCTTATAACCATATAACTAACTAGTTAATTAAGAGGTTACCTTGTTACGTAACTAGTTAACCACTTAATATCAAGCTGGTAAAATAATAAAAGGATGGCAGTTGGAGGCAATAACATGTATTTATTTCCCGTTATGATCTTTTATTTATTGAAAAAAATAACTAGTAACGGAACTAGTCAACCACATAACTAACTAGTTAATTAAGTGGTTAACTAGATACGCAACTAGTTAAACTCTTAATTAACTAGTTAGTTATATGGTTTTCTGGTGGCAGAAATATGCCACCATACGATCTGGCACATCTGTAAATAAAGATTGTACGTAACGACACAATAAACGTACTGTAATTTTTGCGCCATTAATTACTGATGAATTGAATAAATTAATTGACTGATTTACATATGTTATATACGTTTATATACGTTAGTGTAGATTATATATGCGGCGGTAGAATAATCATATCCGTGAGTGTAAAATATATGTTATTAGGGTAGTAGAAAATATATTTTAATAAAGATTATGTTTACTGGTAAAATATAATAGTACACTTAAATATTACTTTGCATGAACATGTATAACATTTCATCTCTCCAAACGGTTGCAAAGATGGGTGCCATTTGTCGCCATGCTGATATATACTGTCTCCAAACGTACAAGCTGCAATATATAATTATAATATGCAGGGTATCAAAAAGATGTTAGGTGTATGACGGCTAGTGTAATGTGTATGACGGCTAGTGTAATGTGCATGACGGCTAGTGTAATGTGTTTGACGGCAAGTGATATGTGTATGACGGTTAGTGTAATGTGTATGACGGCTAGTGTAATGTGTATGACGGCTAGTGTAATGTGTATGACGGCTAGTGTAATGTGTATGACGGCTAGTGTAATGTGTATGACGGCTAGTGTAATGTGTTTGACGCCTAGTGTAATGTGTATGACGGCTAGTGTAATGTGTATGAAGGCTAGTGTAATGTGTATGACGGCTAGTGAAATGTGTATGACGGCTAGTGTAATGTGTATGACGGCTAGAGAAGTGTGCTTGACGGCTAGTGTAATGTGCATGAACGGCTAGTGTAATGTGTATGACGGCTAGTGTAATGTGTATGACGGCTAGTGTAATGTGTATGACGGCTAGAGTAGTGTGCTTGACGGCTAGTGTAATGTGCATGACGGCTAGTGTAATGTGCATGACGGCTAGTGTAATTTGCATGACGGCTATTGTAATGTGTATGACGGCTAGTGTAAAGTGTATGACGACTAGTGTAATGTGCATGACGGCTAGTGTAATGTGTATGACGGCTAGTGTAATGTGTATGACGGCTAGTGTAATGTGTATGACGGCTAGTGTAATGTGTATGACGGCTAGTGTTATGTGTATGATGACTAGTGTAATGTGTATGACGGCTAGTGTAATGTGTATGACGGCTAGTGTAATGTGTATGATGACTAGTGTAATGTGCATGACGGCTAGTGTAATGTGTATGACGGCTAGTGTAATGTGTATGATGACTAGTGTAATGTGCATGACGGCTAGTGTAATGTGTATGATGACTAGTGTAATGTGTATGACGGCTAGTGTAATGTGTATGACGGCTAGTGTAATGTGTATGAGGACTAGTGTAATGTGTATGACGGCTAGTGTAATGTGTATGAACGGCTAGTGTTATGTGTATGACGGCTAGTGTAATGTGTATGACGACTAGTGTAATGTGTATGACGGCTAGTGTAATGTGTATGATGACTAGTGTAATGTGTTTGACGGCTAGTGTAATGTGTATGACGGCTAGTGTAATGTGCATGACAACTAGTGTAATGTGTATGACGGCTAGTGATGTGTATGACGGCTAGTGTAATGTGTATGACGGCTAGTGTAATGTGTATGACGGCTAGTGTAATGTGTATGACGGCTAGTGTAATGTGTATGACGGCTAGTGTAATGTGTATGACAACCAGTGTAATGTGTATGACAACCAGTGTAATGTGTATGACATACAGTGTAATGTGTATGACAACCAGTGTAATGTGTATGACAACTAGTGTAATGTGCAAGACAACCAGTGTAATGTGTATGACAACTAGTGTAATATGTATGATTACTAGTGTAATGTGTATGACGACTAGTGTAATGTTATGACGACTTGTGTAATGTGTATGACGACTAGTGTAATGTGTATGACAACTAGTGTAATGTGTATGACAACTAGTGTAATGTGCAAGACGACTAGTGTAATGTGCAAGACAACCAGTGTAATGTGTATGACAACTAGTGTAATGTGTATGACGACTAGTATAATGTGTATGACAACTAGTGTAATGTGCAAGACAACCAGTGTAATGTGTATGACAACCAGTGTAATGTGTATGACAACCAGTGTAATGTGTATGACAACCAGTGTAATGTGTATGACAACTAGTGTAATGTGTATGACAACTAGTGTAATGTGTATGACAACTAGTGTAATGTGTATGACGACTTGTGTAATGTGTATGACAACCAGTGTAATGTGTATGACGACTAGTGTAATGTGTATGACAACTAGTGTAAAGTGTATGACGACTAATGTAATGTGCAAAACGACTAGTGTAATGTGCAAGACGACTTGTGTAATGTGTATGACAACTAGTGTAATGTGTATGACGACTAATGTAATGTGCAAAACGACTAGTGTAATGTGCAAGACGACTAGTGTAATGTGCAAGACGACTTGTGTAATGTGCAAGACGACTAGTGTAATGTGCAAGACGACTAGTGTAATGTGCAAGACGACTAGTGTAATGTGCTTGATGGCTACACCACAATGTGCTGTACAAACATGTCCGTGTACAGGATATCAAGCTAATGTGAAGGCCAATCAAATAATGTACATTACAAATTTACAATAACGTTAACATGAAGAAAAGTCAAGTAAATCTGCTGCATAATCGACGTGGTATGCAGGGCACTCAATATAATGTACAGAGAATTTAAGTTTATGTGAATGACAATCAATATAATGTACAGATAATATAAGTTTATGTGAAGTTCAATCAATTTAATGTACAGATGATATAAGTTTATGTGAACGAGAAACAACTTAATGTACAGACGATTTAAGTTTATGTGAATGAAAATAGATTTTACGTACAGAGTATTTTACTTAATGTATTTATGATATAGATCTAAATAAACTACTTTATGCGTGTATTAATATACTTTACTATTAGTAAAATTACAATAATGTAAAAAATATACCCACCTTCTTTGCCTTTTATTTTTGTCGTCATTAAAATGTCTTCAAAACCAGAAGCAACATTATTAATACCTAAAAATAAATCGCCAAAAGTTTTCTTTTTATTCAAAACAAATATTACACAGAATAAGGAAATACAGTAAAAACCCGCTTTACGACCACCCCGTTTTCGAGACCAACCCGCTAATACGAACGATTTTTTAAAGACCCGATTTTTTTATTCTTTATTTTAATGGTCGCTAACCCCGATTTTGAGACCACCCCGTTATTCCGTAATACGACCAGTAAATTCAGTCCCATTTCGTAAATTCTGTACATTTGGAAACCCATAAATACGACCGCAGGCACTTTCTCACCTTGATATTGACAGGCATGTATATTGCTGAAATCTTTTTGACACGTGATGTAAACAACAGTTGTCCTAGTTTTACGACATTTAACGACATCCAATTTACGGCAGAGGTCAAGGTTACTTTGTATCCAACCCGTAAATGATCAATAATATTGTCGATAATTTCTTAATTTCACACCTTTAATGTCATAACTGGAGGATTAAAACAACAAAATATTGAACAGAAAACTTTCAATAAGTTTTTTAGAGGTGTTGCTGCTATCATTATCTCTTTCGTTCAATAATTTTAAACAAACATAAACATGATACGATTAGGTTTTTGAAGTTGTTATCGGCAATGAAAACTGTGAAAATAATTAAAGGTTAATTGTTCGGTGTGCTTTGTAGTAAAATGGTGATTTAATTGAGTAAGTCATGTCATTCTTTTAACAAGAATGTAAAAATATGTTTGTGTTTAAAGACATTCATAATACATTTTGTACCTCTAAAGAAGTTTAAAATTTTAATTATGTTAAAAAGTAAAAGAAAATAATAGTGTATGCTTTATATCTTCTCATTTGAAATAGGTTAGCCCAGAATTAAACATGTGTACAGTACATGGTATCCCTTAATATATTGCCCGGCTTTCTGTTTGACCAAACTCATTAATGAGACCAACCCGCTATTAAGACCAGATTTGTAAAGTCCCTTCATTGGTCTCATTAGCGAGTTTTTACTGTATTTCTCAGCGTCTGTTAATTGATAACGTAAAAATATGGAGAAATTGTGACCTTCTTGATTGTTTATCCCAGTATATAGCTATATATAAAGTATTTAAATCCAAATGTTTAGTTTAAAAACTATATAAAAATAAGTGTAAGATAACAATTAGAAACAACAATATACCTTTACACGTTTGACAACAGTCGTCGGTATTCACTCTTACTCGCTCATGTTTCGGACATTTCAATTCCGGACATGGTGCTCTTGTACAATTTACTTCTAGCGTTAATTGCTGAAAACATAAACTATTACTGTTTTAGGTAGAAAATATGATCCATGGGTTTAACATTAACATATTGAAATTATCATGACTATCAAATTGAATTTTTACTCTCATTTTAAAGCCCTGGTGTTAATGTCTGATAACAAATACACTGTTATCATTTGGATGATTTTTTTACAATTAATCATTACAACATTTTGTATAATACACAGTACTGGATTAGACAAGATCTTTTTATCAATAAAAGATCTGATAAATACAAAATAATGTCAGCTATTTTTGTTAAATAACTCACAGTATCAGCTATAACATGTCTGCCATTTAAAATACAAACACATGGTAACTTCCTATATATATAACTAGTCTCTAATCTAAATCAAAATAATTATTTCAGTTACTTACTATACATGTACATATCGCACATTTTGAGTATCCAAATGGTGGAACATACGGATGCCAAAATGATCCAGCCGGGTGCCACCGTTTGTCGCCTTCAAAATAGCAACTTCCCGAATGTTTCTTCTCAGTATCGTTGTCGTCTTAGATAAATTCATATGAAAATAAGAAAATGGTACATTAACATAAAACAGAGTACTTTATTTAAAACAAATCTTGTTAAAGGGTAAGGGATCACAAAGACTGCTAACTGAACAATAAATTATTGAATTATGGACATCATCATTTTCAGGAACATGTAACTCTCTCCAAATTTTTAATACACGACTTTATTTGATTACTTCCCCTAGTCAACCCACTACACTTTACAGTTTTCAATATTGTCTAATTTATTGACTATAAAATAAACAATAGTTACTGCAGTTTTCGTACATTGAATGTACATTAAAATGTTCCTTTGAATTATATTTTAATGATGAAATCTTAAAAAAGTACAAAGTTTGAATGTTTTAAGTAAAGATTGATAAAGAAACTCACCATTACAGACAGGACAGCACTCCCCTTCCTGTTTGATTGGATATTGACATGACGTGGGCGGGCAGAGTAATCTGTCACAATAAACGTTACCTCTCTGTAATTTACATAAACATATTATACACGTAAATTATACATAAAATAAATGAAAACGAGGATGCTGCTACCTTTACTTTGGTCGTTTAAGACAATGTTTAAAAATCGACATTGCCTGATGCATACTTAGCACGTGTAAAATGACGTAGGGATATTTTTCCTTCAAAATATTGTATAATATTATGTATTACTCCAGTTCTCTCTATTCTATTATATAATTTTCTATTATGTTACAACTTTTCTAATTGGTACATTGTCTACCATAAAAACAATAGATGAAAACTTTGTTTGTATCCTTTGATAATAAATAAATAAATAAATAAATAAATAAATAAATAAATAAATAAATAAATAAATAAATAAATTAAAATAAATAAATAAATAAAGGAAATTTTATGCCTCTTCTATAATAAGACAATGTCGACGTTTTTCAACAGTTTATTATTTTTGATGCCTTTATTATCTTTGATTGATAGCTAGACTTTTTACATGAAAATAAATGTTTGTATTTTATAACGTGGTAAACTGACGACTAGTAGTGAAGAGTCTGATAAATTTTATATAATATCAGACACTTGTGTCGCAGGTTAATATTCTATTAACATGTTTGCAATTTTAATATGCGTTTCTTTCTGTAAATTTCAATTCAATGAAACAAAAACATGTCAAGAACCTCTCTAGTCTATATTTCAATATGTATTGATGAGGGATCTGATAAAACTGAGGGTGATTCATGAAACTAAATATATCAGACTTACATTTTCTAAATAGATATCAATGTAAAGGCATCATAAAACGTTTTTATACCTTCACTGTGTTTAATGTGTGTACTATAAAGGGCTACTTTTAGAATAAATCGTCATTGAGTTATTTCTGTGCGAATTCTCGCATCTAATTCTATATATCAAATCCATATCCAAATATGAGAAAATAACCAAAACCGTGCAGACACCTTGTTCGGGTGTCAAACTTTCGTATTCTCTTTTAATTTCTTAATTTCATTTTCAGGTCAAATACCTTCAAATGCCCTCTAAACGAATGCAATTTCAATGTTATACACTTAGTCATTTTCTTTCGCGTGATGTATTGGCATATGGCTTTTAAAAAATGCTCCTTTTTGAAAAAGAAAAAAAACAAAAAAAAACCATAATGAGCCCTAAAGGATAGTTTTGAGGATATAAAACTGATGCATTTTCAATTTTCATTATAGTTATCTAAAAGTACAAATTATACAATTTTGTTTTCAGAAACTGTTAATTTCAAAATAAAGTAGTTGAAATCATTGTGACCTCGTCATGTTAATTTAAGTCTTTAAAGGCTCGGCTAAAAAAACAAAAATTAGTCTGTGCCAATTCAGCTAGGCAGTGTTCATATTCGTTCACTCAGTCACGTGATCTGACTTGAACTAAAATCAGCAGTATAACGCTATATTTGCTACGACTAAATCTTCACAGAAAAACACCATTTAGGGTAATTCTCTTATTTGACTTTGATTTGACATTTTTTCAATGTTGCAAATAATTAAATTAAAAAAGTGAACTTCCAGAGATAATCAAGAAGAATGCAAATTCTTTCATTATTTAGTAAATTTAATTTTCTCCGTTTAAACTAATTTATAAGATTCAAAGCCATTACAGATAGTTTGCATATGAAGTAATGAACTTAGGTTGCTCATGGCAATCTCCGGAAATGTTCTTTTCGTGTTTTCCCTCTAAATTCAGCAAAAACACATCTCTAAATTCTTTGTTACTAATATGACACTAACTTTAAGTACCGGAAGCATTTCCTGAAGTCTTTTCAAATTAAAGATTCGTTTTTATCATGTAAGATTGTAATGAATTCATTCTTAAATTCAAACATTTTCTTGGCATCTGCAGTCGTACTCCATTTTAAACTTTTTAATCTCAAAGCCATATAATAACACGAATTTCGTGACAAAAATTCCGAGTATAAAAAAAATAACGACCAACATGTGTGTACATTACTTGCTACACGTCACATATTTCTAGATACAATATAACTACCATTACCCAGTAAAAGAAAATGAAACAAATACATTAAGATATTTATAAAACTCTGAGCTTATAATGAACCTGTATGTTTTATATAAACAGATACATTTAACACATCTAAACATAAGCGGAGCATTGAAAAAAATGTAAATGTTGATATTAAAAAAATATACTTCGACAATGTAAAGATTCGTTTCGACTTTAGTGTAACATATTTATAAAATTGTGACCTATACATGTATATATATACGCGGGGTTAATTCATAATGGGTAGTCTTACCGATAGGTTTTTATTACTTACATCTACATATGTTGTATTACAACGATTTATGTATGTTAATAAATTGAATGCTATAGCCTCTATAACAATGTATATTTTTAAGTTTCATTAAGACTTGTAAAATTAAGATGTAGTGATGCTATTATTGTTTATGATCCTGACTTATTTAATTGTTTTATAGATCTACACATTAAAGTCGATTGGTCTACAATGAGCAAATGTTTAAAATATTGACAAAAACAATAGCAATGTATCATTTGGACATTCTAAAAAGATATTTCTCGAACAAAAAATATTGGTCTACTTGATTGAGTGATTGAGTATGAACATTAACATAGTGGGAAATAATATTTTGTTCTAGAATATTTTGAATATTCTATTTATCGGTATGTTATATCGGCCCATGTACCCAATACCAACAACATCAACATTTGATTCGTTTCTAAGTTGTTTTTGTAACGTATGATCAACATAATTATTTAGGGTACTGGATATTTTCCATTATGGACAATTTCACTTTAATAACGATATGAATTTGAAAAACACATTTTAAATAGTATTTTTATATAATATAATAAACAGGTATAATGCTTACGTTACATCTGCAAGTTACGCATGGATTATCGTCTGCTGGAATCCAAGACCGCGCATGCGCATAGAACTGTCCTTCATAATAACATCTAAAATTATCAACACCGCCAACTTCTAGCTCATTTTCCTCCGAATTCGTTGCTGTTGTTGTTGTAAATTGTTTTAACCAACAATTGTTTCTCAGTTGTAACTAACAGTATATATAAACACAAGTGTTATCTCTTAGATCCCAATTCTCATTTTGATTTATAGTATACATTAAATATCAGAATCAATCGATGTCGTGTTTTCATTTAATGATTAGCCCTTACCACGCAAAAAATCTTAATTGGGCTAGAAAATCTTTAAATCTGGACAAAACCATTAGTAATTTAGGGAGAATGTTAAAATAAGTATGGACTGGGTAGCAAAGAGTGACGACCATTATCATCACGGTATAGGAATATGCCAGCTGCACTGGTTGAATGGACAGAAACAGTTGCGACTAGCAGGCCACTGATTGAGTGTTTTGAAAACCAGAAAAATAAAACAATAAATACATAATGATGGACATTTTGAGTCTGCCCTGATGACAAGCACTGTACGTATTTCTTAAATCCCCAAAACTAAGTCAAGTTGTGTAGAAGTATGCACAAGTTGAACAAGTATACTTTGCAAATACAAAACAAATGTTTAAATACGAGTGTATGGGGGCAAAACATAAGTCTTTTTACAAAGTACAATGCAAATATAAATGTTACATTATTTCGATAAAGTTACGGCACTGATATGATAAGATAATAATTATTGTTCAATATCAACACTGGATGTTTGATGATAGTGGGTCAATTACTAACTTGTCCCTGGTATTGTTCACACACATCATCGGACACTCTCAGGTTTACCATGGCTCTCCCATGATTTATATCTCTAAACACGCTATCTCCAATCCCAGTAATTGTTCCCAATGGCTACAAATACAGCAAAAAACAAATGAACCGTTGATTAAAAACATATTTCATACATTTGATATGATAGGTTGCCGTATTTTATTCCATGAAAAAACAATCCCGTTTGTTTGATAAAGCCCGTTCTGGTTAATGACCATTACAATTTATATCGTCTGCTTTATGAATAATCATTAATTATTATCCCTGGGAAGTAATTTCCGGCATTGTAAAATGATTCTAACACACCGTGCAAATGTTGTTTTATTTGACACCAGAGATCAAACGTTCACGGTGTCATGGGAGAACAAAAAATAAAATGTATCTGAAAAAGACCGGACAATTGTTATAGTTGTACCTTTGTTGAGGTTATACCCGTGAATAAAACAAATTACATTTCAGATTAATGTGTGAACAGAATATGTGAACTAACTTGAATACAGTTATTATAATAAAATGTTATAAAGATAAAATGTTTAGTCCCTAGTGTTCAAATACATCTAATATAATGTTATAATTTCCCCCTTATACTTGCGTAGATTTTCAAACGATTTCATGGAAGAATTGACACATTAAATACCTTCACAACACTGAGGATTGAATCTATTTTATGCCTCGTTTGATTTCTCTTTAAATCAAGTCATAAATATTCTGAATGGAAATATTATAAATTCGTTTATTTTTGAAGCCATTATTCCTGTGATGCTGTATTGTAAATAGTTCATACCATGTTTAACGACATTTCTATGATCTCTTAATCGCGTTATTTATATAAAACGTTTGGCACGCCATATATGACGTCAATTACGCAAAATGACGCTAGATAAACCACTCAATGTTAACGTTACACTATCAAAGCGTCAATGAACATTTTTTTTCAGTAGACACTTTTTACTTTTGGTATGTGATATAAGCGTAATGTGTTATATCATATTTATGCAGCTTCAGTACTGTCTTTATTGAACTCGTTGAATGAAGTAACATTAAGCCCGCCAGAGGCTAGCATAATAAAATTCAATTCAAATTATTCATAAAATAAAGTGTCGTATCGACACTCTATCTTCCATCTATTTAATCGAACAACATTAAAGACGCTTGTCTGTATAATAAAGTTTGTTGACAAAAAAGTTTTATCTCTAAGTGTATTAAAATGTTCGTTTTCTTGTTTATGATAAATAAAAGACTAAACTTTTAAAAACTTGGTTGAGCATAGGAAAAGTGGATTTTATTTCCCATAAAATCTGTAACTATGAAGAAAGAAATCTATAATTAAGCCAATTACAAAGTTAATGAAAGGAAGAACTAGAGAAGTTCTTGTTAATTAGATTTCCTGGCGCACGAAATGTCTCCAGTAACTTGGAGAAGACAACAACTTATTTTAATGGCTAGCGTTTTAACCTTTGTACCACGTGCCATTTTTCCGGTAAACGCATATTTCCAGAGATGTATTCTATGAACTTACATTTAGGAAATAGTTATAAAACGCAACAAACTTTCAAAAACATAAACAACTATGAATAAGAAAAATCCACGACAAACATTTATATTAGATATTAAAATGTCATGTAGGGACTAGTACCTGTATAATTTCTTGTCATCATTGAAAACCAAGATCATAAGTGATTTATTTGCCTGATTATATATTTTTAAATAAAATCTTTGCTTTTTTAAGAGACTTGTAAAACTGTATGTAAGACTGTTTGTTTTTAATTAATATGTATAAATGTAAACGTTTACCTCTGCCAGTTTTCTAACTAATGTTCCCGCGTTTTTTGTCTCTATGGTAAATGTCATATCAAGGCTATCGTCACGGGCACCCGTCGCAATGACGTAATAATCCAAACTTGAACAATTTTTGGTGACATCATAAAACACAAACGCTGGTGATTCACAATATGCCGACTTTAATGTTATATCTGAAGCTGAATTGAAAGTAAAAACATATCATCGTCGTAACAAATCAATCAAATAACTATAGATGTCACGGTTCAGAACTGTTCACTATTTAGGGGAGAAGATGTGTAGGCGACCGGTAAGCGCAGTAGTACGGTATTCCGAGGGTCCCGGGTTCGAGTCTCGGTCATGCTGCACATTTTTCTCAGCCTATGACATAGACCGACAATGTCTCTAGTAAAACACACACTAACAATTTATAGGTCTAGATCTATGTATACAATCTAGCTTTGTAAGTATAATGTTCTTACTAAACCTATAGTTATATATAGACGCTAACCATCATGCCATAAAAACCTTTTCTCTCATGAAAGAAACAATTGAGATCTAGAAATCTAGTAATTTTAGCATACCTGTAAACATGAAGTCTGTAGTCGTTTTCAGCAGATAGAATCTAGCATACATTTCCTCATCATTTATTACTATTTTGATACGAACAGCTGAGTTCTGAATCAGCACAATGTCTCGTGCTCGTAACTTTTTAAACAGCCCACTTTCCTACAAATACATGTACATTTTTACATGCGTTTTTCTATTAAGTTTATAACATAATAATATTTATACTCTAAACAAAATACAAACTTTCAAAAAGTTTGTACATAGATCTATACGAAATACGATTCATAGTATCTAAAATACAGGTTTATATGACAAATTTGTATCATAGTTTGGGGACCTTTCTGTTGAAAATGCGTCAGAGTTAAATCGTATACATATACATGCACAGTGCGTTAACTGGAGTGCAGGTATTAGTTACCCGCACTCCTGAGCACGCCCATTGATTGGTTCATTTTTGCTGGGGTTTACTTATTGTGACGGCAGAGAAAGGAAACGCGACAGAAATATGATATTCAGATGCTCGTTCATTGGTTACTTTTTTCTGGGGTTTCATATTGTGACAACAAGGAACGTGTTTTTATGTTTGACTATGATACAAAAGAGAAAGAACACCAAAACACTCGGCAATCTGATTAATACTCGGGGGCTACGCCCCCTCGTACAAATCAGATAGCCTCGTGTTTCGGTGCTCTTTCTATTACTTGTTTGTTTTCTATCAAAGATTTCATTGATACAGTAGAAAAAAGATTGTTATCAACAGATCAATGACCGGGTAATTTCACAATTAAAAGATATAATTGGTATAAATGTCACTAGACTATAAGAGTATTTAGTCCTGCTTCAAGTGATTCGGGAAATTTTCAGAGACAAATGATAGCACTTAAAAGCATTCATATACATTAAATATTGCCATGTTCAATACAGTGCTGTACTTTAAAGTTGTTTTTCATTGTTTTACATACAAACATTAACAAGTTGTTAAATACTAGATCTACAAGTTCAGTGTTTTACATACAAACATCAACAAGTTGTTAAATACTAGATCTACAAGTATGTTTGTGGTATATAGACTAAATAAATTGATCATTTTAATTGAGAGGTAAACAAAAGGCTACACCATGCCGTAATCTATCTGTACTTCTGCGAGCAAATACTGTGCGAGTCGTGGCCATTTATTCAAACTGAAAAACCGCATCTAATATAAAACAAAACTTTACTGCATTAAAACATGTCATACTTGAAATGGAGGCTTCTTATAGGCTTCTATCTTCTGTAAAATCGTGGCGAAATCTCTCCATTCACTGCTACTTTTTATATGCCGCTGTATTGCTACACTAATGGAAGCAGTATGTTGTAAATTAAGTGAAACCTGAAAAGTTTATCATCGTTTTCTTTTATAAAGTGAGATTACTTAGGAAGTTGTTGTCATTTTAGGTTAATGGAACTTTCGCTTATTTACAAAAAAAGTTCGTCAACGCTGAATTTAAAAGACCGCGTGTATTTTTGAACAATAAGAGTAATATTTCTTTTGTATATTTTACACTCATTGGTTTAGATAAGTAAAACAAGAATAGTTTAAACTTTTGTTTGCCTAAATAATGAAAACAAACATGCATTTTATCTGACGACATTGAATTCATTAGAGTTGCGGTAACACAAAGATGGTATGACAGCATTATCAACTAAAACATGACATGATCACACATATACACGGTATGTTCACTCTATCCCTGTGTTGGCTTAAACTTATATAATATATTCACATTCTTCCCGTGTTGCGGTAACAGTAACATGATGTGTAAACACTTTCCCCTTGCTGTGGTAACACTAACATGAAATGTTCACACACTCCATGTTTGCGGTAACACTAACATGAAGTTTTCACACTTTCCCCGTGTTGCGGTTACACTTACATGATATGTTCACACTCTCCCCGTGTTGCGGTTACACTTACATGATATGTTCACAATCTCTCCGTGTTGCGGTTACACTTACATGATATAACGTTGAATGTTCACACTCTCCCCGTGTTGCGATAACACTAACATGATATGTTCACACTCTCCCCGTGTTGCGGTTACACTTACATGCTATGTTCACACTCTCCCCGTGTTGCGGTTTCACTTACATGATATGTTCACACTCTCTCCGTGTTGCGGTTACACTTACATGATATAACGTTGAATGTTCACACTCTCCCCGTGTTACGGTAACACTTACATGATATGTACACACTCTCCCCGTGTTTGGATACGATACAACACATTTTCAAAGTGGCGAAGAAGTAATTACCTTGTATTTTAGACTTCCATTATCTTCTAGTGACATTAAAACATAACCAGTGCTGATATCTGTAGATGTATATGTAGCTATCATTCCTGTAACAAAGACATTAACTTTACATTTACCTTATAGTTTCTAGTTTTCCAATATTTAAAAAAGAGTTGTACTATGTTTACAGATATAAATAATTTAACAACTTAATTAATAACTGATATAATATTACGTCCGGAAATCGAACCCTGTTTCCCGATGTACAGACCAACGCTCTATCAACTGAGCTAACCAGATGGTGCTAGTAAATATTTATGTGTGCGTGTGTGCGCGATAGTTTATACTCGACACCGGTTGCCCATATAGGATAGTGCTGGAGAAGTACATGTCATTTTAGATTTTGGAGGATAGTGCAATATACAGAAACAAACTTCTTTAGCTGTTAAAAGTGCTTATGCATTTATAAATAGGGCCACTTTTTAAAGGGATATTTAGGCAAAATAATGACAAAACTATCCAAATGATCTTATGTACTCAAATAACGCTAAAATGACATTTCTTAAAGTTCCAGCATGAATTTCTGTTTAAATTCTACATATTTTGGGTTTGAAGCATAAATATATCTATTTTATTGATTAAAATTTAGACGTCAATAAAATCACCAAATAGTTTTAAAACAAGTCATGTCACTTGAATAAACCCTTGAAGTTAAAATAAAGATATTGTGGATATTGTAAGATTGAAACAAGTCTAAGTCATTCATTTGACATGTTCTCAAACGTTTCCAGAGTTCACCGTGACAACTTTTGTGAAATCCTAGTGCTCTAACCTGACCCACGCGGGTCAAGTTAGGAAACCACCATTTTATTTTTTATACGGAGAAAAGTTTTGTTCTTTTGACTGCCTAATGTATTCACTTCGGTGGCATTAACAGAATAATGAATGAAAAATCCAAAACTTAGAAATAAAAATTTTGCCTGTGTCTCCCTTTAAAGTCTCATCCGAGAGAATGTTTAGTAAATTTAGTAGGCCAGCCCGGGAATCGAACCCAAAATGTCGAGATTACAAGTCTTACACTCTAACCAATTGATCTATGCAGGCTGGGATATTTAAATATTACTATTTGTGGATAAACATATTACCTGTACGTAACAGCCTCGGTCTGAGTACACCAATCATCGTCTCACCAGTTCTTGACGTCACTCTTACATGTAACCTTCCGCGCGCTATTTGCTTGGACATTTTACCGTTAACGCTTACCTTTCCAACCATCTGGTATTTCTTGAAATAAAGTGAACAAATGATGTACTTTGAAATAAATGTAGATCATATTTTATCATGCAAAGTAACTAAGTAGGATAACAGGAAAAGTTAATTGTCACGTTTAAATGTAAACAATTTTATATTTCCCTTGTCAACAGATATTTCGGGAAGTACACATTTAGAAATGCACTTCAAGTATGTATAATGTTCGCCAAATTTGACTTTAAAGTATGTTTTTGAGAACTTTAACTTTTCTTAGAAATTAAAGTAGTCTTAATAGAAAGTTTACCAATTTAGCATATATGCTTATTTTAGAATACAGTGAAGTTTTAGAGAAATTGTAATTACCGACCTGGTGTGAAGTTCTTAAAACATGCTGATGAATTATTTCTGTGTCCTTTTCAAACGTCACAAAGTACTCCTCTGAAACTAGCATTAAAGATAGAAATTAGATCATTAATAAAGAATAACTACGTAACTAATACATTCAATACGTTGACGATAATTTAAGACAAGCAAATTTTCAAAGGTTATTTTCAGTATGCCCAAAATGCTTTAAAAAATTTTTATTTTTGATTTACTCTTACATATTCCAAAAAGTTGATCATTGGCCAGTTACCTGAACCATCATTTTTGTTGTTGCTTCTTTTGGTAATAAGTACACTTAGAATGATTTAATATTTTGCATTGTTTACATTTTACTTCTTTTATGGCATTTTTGTTAACATTTGGTGCTACATTTTTCAGGTTACAAGCGTCTTACATGCTCAAAAACGAATTTTTAAACGTTATAATAGTCATTTTTGCATTTGTTAAAGAAATCAAAATGTATTCGTTTCTCAAGTATAATGTACGCATTTTAGTTTTCCTAAGTTTTTGTAAGTAGACATAAAACATTGCCAACGAAATGGATATTGTAATACAATGTGAAATGCACTATAAGAAACAAAAATATTTCACAAGAACACGAGCAAATGTTAAATATTCTTGAACAATTATGATAGGGACACCACTGAGATCCGTGTAGCCATGACATGACTATATTATCATGTTTTGTGTGATTATCGTAGAATTTGATGATGGTTTAAACAAAAAACTTGTGTGCAAAATTTCAGAACGTTTTCTCAGTCCGTATTTTCCTATCAGTTTTCTGATTTATGAAAAATGACTCAAAAAGAAAAGCGTTTAATCGCTTTAACATAGAATCGGGAAAATAATCCCGCAAATTTATCATTTTCGGTTTAAGTCTGAGCAGATTTCTTTGCCATCTTTTGCATATCTATTCGTTGTGCTGCAAAATATCTTTGTCACCTACCTGCCTGCCTACCTACCTACCTAACTGCCTGCCTGCCAACCAACCTGCCTAACTATCTACCTAGCTGCCTGTCTACCTAACTACCTGCCTGTCTGCCTACCTTCCTGCCTGCCTGTCTATGTTACCTACTAACATACCTACTTGCCTGCCTACCTACCTGCCCGCCTGTCTGACTACCTTCCTACCTACCTGCCTGTCTGTCTCTGCCTGTCTGCCTACCTATACTTACCTACTAATCTACCTACCTAACTACGATATTGTAAATTTTAAACTTTAGGCGTTTGGACACAGTGGGTTTTCTATAACATATTCTTACTCATTTTAGAATGACGATAACCGTCAACTTGTATAACGTATGACGTCATTTTGGTTGTTACATCATAAAACATGGTGACCAGAGCGCCAATTCCAGATCTATCCGGTGGATTCAATAGGGCTTCAAACGATGCTAAAATACAAAAAAGTAATACCACTGAAATAGTAATAGAAAATGTAATAGAATTATTAATTAAAATAGTAATTTTATTAGTAATTCAAATAATAATAATAATAATAATATTAATAATAATAATAATAATAATGATAATATAAATAGTAATTCAAAAAGTTTTACAAATAGTAATTCAAATACAAATTTAGTAATATTTTTTGTAAATGTACGTTATTTAAAACATTCTTATCAACAAACAAGAGAACAGGAAACTGGTGCCGTTAATTCACTGAACAAAAGTGCTCATACAATAAAACAGACATGGATTATGTTCTAATAGGAAAGTGGAAGTCAAGTATTCCACAAATTGCTGGAGGAAGATTACACAGGGTTGATAGGTTAAATAGACCTACCGAATTTGTCATCGTCGTTTTCATGTTTAAACATTTATAACATGTAGTGTACCCGTTAGGAAAACATAACTTAAAGTTAAGTGAACCAGTCAGGAAACATTAATGATAGGTAAGTGAACCAGTCAGGACACACATCTATTTTATGTAAGTGAACCAGTCGGGAAACATTTATAATTAGTAAGTGTACCAGTCGGGAAACACTTATAATAGACAAGTAAACCAGTCGGGAAAACTGTCATAATAGGTAAGTGAACCAGTCGGGAAACATCTATAATAGGTCAGTGAACCAGTCGATAAACATAAAAAAGGTAAGTAAACCAGTCGGAAAACATCTATAATATGTAAGTGAACCAGTCGGGAAACATCTATAATAGGTCAGTGAACCAGTCGAGAAACATTTATTATAAGTACGTGAACCAGTCGGAAAACATTTAAATAGGTAAGTGAACCAGTCGGGAAACATCTATAGTAGGTCAGTGAACCAGTCGGGAAACATCTATAATATGTAAGTGAACCAGTCGGGAATCATCTATAATATGTAAGTGAACCAGTCGGGAAACATCTATAATAGGTCAGTGAACCATTCGATAAACATATAAAATAAGTAAGTAAACCAGTCGGAAAACATCTATAATTTATTATGTAAGTGAAACAGTCGGGAAACATATAAAATAAGTAAGTAAACCAGTCGGAAAACATCTATAATAGGTCAGTGAACCAGTCGGGAAACATCTATAATATGTAAGTGAACCATTCAATAAACATATAAAATAAGTAAGTAAACCAGTCGGAAAACATCTATAATATGTAACAGAACCAGTCGGGAAAGTTCTGTAATAGGTTAGTGAACCAGTAGGGAAAGATTTAATCATATGTTAGTGAACCAGTCGGGAAATATTTATAATAAGTAAGTGAACCAGTCGAGAAGCATCTTTAATATGTAAGTGAACCAGTCGGGAAACATCTATTACAGGCAAGTGAACCAGTCGAAAAACATTTAAAATAAGTAAGTGAACCAGTCGGGAAAGATCTATAATATGTAAGTGAACAAGTCGGGAAAGGTCTATAATAAGTAAGTGAACCAGTCGGGAAACACCTATCATATGTAAGTGAACCAGTCGGGAAATATTTTTTATAGGTACGTGAACCAGTCAGGAAACATCTATAATATGTAACTGAACCAGTCGGGAAAGTTCTGTAATAGGTTAGTGAACCAGTAGGGAAAGATTTAATCATATGTTAGTGAACCAGTCGGGAAATATTTATAATAAGTAAGTGAACCAGTCGAGAAGCATCTATAATATGTAAGTGAACCAGTCGGGAAACATCTATTATAGGCAAGTGAACCAGTCGAAAAACATTTAAAATAAGTAAGTGAACCAGTCGGGAAAGATCTATAATATGTAAGTGAACCAGTCGGGAAAGATCTATAATAGGTAAGTGAACCAGTCGGGAAACATCTATCATATGTAAGTGAACCAGTCGGGAAACATTTAAATAGGTAAGTGAACCAGTCGGAAACATATATAATATGTAAGTGAACCAGTCAGGAAACATTTATAATATGTAAGTGAACCAGTCGGGAAACATTTATAATAGGAAAGTGAACCAGTCGGGAAACATCTATAACATGTAAGTGAACCAGTCGGGAAACTTTTATAATAGGTAAGTGAACCAGTCAGGACAGTCAGTTTATTGGTTATAGGATATCTAATATTTCAGCATGGTATCTGATTGACCATCATTTAATGCTTTGGTACTTAATATAATCTACATTTATCTCATTCATTTACATTTATACGAAATTTCCATAAAGATTTTGATTTAGTATGAGATGTGATATACTTAAGTTTAGTACAAACCAATGGCAGCTATTGTATTTGTCCGAAGTAATCCGAATATCTCCCCTTTTTTGTACCTCGATGTGGTCAGTGTGACGTATGCAGTATTTTGTAATATATATCTAACATAGTTCTTTGGTATAGCTTCAATTTTATCGTAGAACTGTTGTAGATATGATAAAAATATAAAACAATAAATAAATGATAAATGATTTACAGAAATAAAAATTATTATATACCGTTTACTGTTTTGACTATTTTTACATATCAACTTACTATGACACTCCTTGTGATTAAGGGCTTGCTTTAAGGGCTGAGGCATCAGAATTATAGGCATACATTTACACAAATGTAAACTTTTGAAATTTCCAAGCGCAAAACTTTAGCCGAACTATATTTGTAATTCTCTCAAAATAAAATTGTTTTCTATGTATAAAGTATAGCTATATATAGGGAAAGTTTTCTTTTTTTACAGGCAACCAAACGGTATTCATCTTTGAACAGTATTTGCCACATTATAATATACTAAACTGTTTTTAAGTCTGCACAATTTTAGGGTCTGCTTTAAGAATTACACTGTACAATGTATAAGATTTCAGCAGTTAAAAAGAGGTGGGAATAAATAAGTTATGTAGATAGAATCATACCACACCGGTCCTTGATGTCTGCGGCGGAAGTTGACGTTCTATCACCGTGTTACCATACTCATCCGTTATATATAGATACACGGTTCCTTTAATCTGTGAGACATAAATGAGAATATACATTTAAATGAACCGTTAAATCATGATTAGAAATGAAAATTAATATTATAAACGTTAAAAAAAATCACAAAGATCAACTGGTTAATAACATTTTTTGTGAAAAAATATACTCAGATATTTCATATTTCAAACGTATTACGTTCAACTGTTTAGTAACTAGTGACAACAAAGTACATCTAGCAGTAAACTGTTGTAACCTTTGGAATTGAATTAATCACAGTTTATACAATGAGACCAGTCGTTCAAGTTCTTGAATTCTGTTTTATCTTTCAATATTTCTTCGTGTAATGGCCTCTTTATAAATTGTCATTGCAACTTAATTAGTAAGGAAAAAAACTACACGTGACAATCCCTCGTGAAAATCTAATTTACTGAAATCATCCTTGTAGAAAAAAATACGAGAGATATTGTCTAAAAGATAATTGAAAATAATAGTTAAAAAACAACACCGGTGGTGGAAACCATTCATTACACTGATAGAAAATAAAACTATGATTACAAAAAGCAAGCTTTTATTTTCAAAGCGTGACAAATTAAGCTTCAAGAGATTTTCATTCGTGCCATTTTTATAATGTTTAGAGAAGTTTAAATGTATGGTTTTTCTTCAAGAATTTTTAATTTGTTGCTCGTTTTTTATTCTTTTTCTTGTTTTTTCCCTGTCATTATGATATTCTAATATAAAGATACAAACACACTTGTATTTGGTATTATGAAAGCAAAGTAATTTAATTTAATAGATTTACAGTTCTTGTATCAGAATTGAAAGCAATCTGAATAGAATAAAATGAATGAATGAATGAATGAATGAATACATAAATAAATAATGATTTAATAATTAATTAGATAAATAAATAAATAAAGCCAGAATTGAACACAATCAGAATGGCGTATATTCATTTCATTATTAATAAACCAAAAGAAATGAAATGAACCGTATGTATTTAAGGGAATTCTCTACAAATGAGGTATGATAGTCCCTAGTGTTGTGATGGTATCATGTTAATTTTGGAATAAACAATGTAGGTGGTTCCGTTTTCTTGTGTGATTAGAACGATTTCAATCAAATTTTCTTCAGAATTTGGACGTTAAGACAAACAGATAGACAATATTTTTGGTGACGTAAACTTCCATTTTGTCATTCATTTTACATAAACATGTAAAATTATTTTGTCAGGTAATTTAACAAACAGTGAATCCAATTTACATAACTAACATTTTTTGTTAGCTTAATAGCGGTTGGTCTTTTATAGAAATATATTTTTTTTCTTCTTATATTTACGTACAACTGGTATACACAAGTACACAACATCGCTCATTTTCAAATTGTTTCTAGAATAATGTCCAGTATCAACAGCTAGATTATTCAAAGATAAACTTAACTTAAAAGGAAATATATATAAATAGTGTTCATAAAAAACAACGAAATTTTGTCTCAAAATGCTGATACAGAATTGAATAGAATAACTATTATTTTCTATCAAGGGTCCTGTAAAAGTATAACCGCCCTACCCCCACTACAGGAACTGTAAAATTGACAACATACGTTCGCTACATGCTTTAAAAGACACATGTATGCCCACAAACAAAATTTACTGTTCGGTTTACGAGTTATGTGTACTTTTTCTAATATAAAGCTGGGCTATTGAAAAGGCTCTTTTAGGAAATGAGGAAACTCTAAATAATCTATAATACCATCGTAATGAAAAATATTGTTTATTTATCATTGTTAAAGGGATACTCAGGCAAAATTTTGACAAAATATTAAATGATTTTATGTACTCAAATCACGCTTAAATGACATTTTTTAAAGTCCCAGCATGAATTTCTGTATAAATTCTATATATTTTGGGTTTGAAGCGTAGATATATCTATATGTTTTGAACGAAATTTAAACGCCGACAGAATCATCGAGTAGCTTTAAAACAAGATATGTGACTTGAACAAACTTTGGGAGTTACAATAACAGACATTGTGGATATTGTATGATCAAAACAAGTGTAAGTCATTCATTTCAACCTACCCCACCCATTTCAAACACTTGTTTTGCCCTGTTTCCTACTTTGAGAGCCTTATTTAAAATATCCCTAAACTATACCAAAACGTGGGGCTGTTTTCAAAAATTGCCTACATTTTCTAAAAAGTGATGGTTAATCTTGAGAATATAAAACACTTTTACCGCTTTTATTTTATTAGACTTTGAAAATATCTGGTATCATATTTGTTATTAAATTTTATATCATTAGCCAAGAAATATCCTATGGCAACAGTTCTAAATGCCATTTCTGATCTTGAGTTTCGACTGTTCAATTGATACAAGTGAAATAACTGTATAATAACGAATTATCTTTATAGAAGACATAAGGTAATCATACAATTGGCATATAGCACTAGGTTTTTACTTTTATCATTTTATATATCATGACATGTAGGGCCTTAAAACTTCTACAAGTCTTCTAGCCTGCTCATCTGCGCAGTCTGATCAGGATCCATGCTGTTCTTACCAACCCTATTACAAGTTTAGAAACAGTTCGCGAACAGCATGGATCCTGATCACACTGCGCGGATGAGCAGGCTGGTCTGGATCCATGCTGGTCGCAAACGCACTATGTTGGTTTTGTCGTGACGCGGGTTATATATTTAAATATTCCTACCTTGAATATCTTACTGCGTAATTAAATGAATCCTCAGTTATATTAGTCAAATGTATCATAGCAACCGCACGTGTCCGAACAACACGTGCCCCGTGATTCTGTCTGCCACCACCAACTAATAGAGCAGTCATATCTGTAACAGAAAAAATAAAAGATAATTAAGATTTTTAATAATATTCCAAACATTTTTTTCAACAAAATAGCCTTTTATAGGAAATAATCACACGTTTTGTTATGAATGAGATAGCTATTCATTGGCTATAATTAAAATCAGTGGTTGAAACATTAAACCAACTTTCATGGGAAATTTTTACATGACAAAACAATGATTTAATTTTCTACACGAAAAACCCTAAACTGTAAACGTAATATTATTTTAATTTTTGCTAATTACAGTTTTTGACACTTTTAAATATAATGAAATATTTCATCTTACGTATAATTATAATAAATATTAGAAAATAAAACTGAATATATACCTGAATTTATAAATGAATAAAATTTTAGTTATTAAGATTTTGACAGGCTATATGGCCCTATATAAACGGTTGTTCGTATATATAACCCGATCCGCAAGGCTGAATTTATAACTGGCAAGAAATAGAAATGTAAAAAAATATCAAATATTATCAGATGTTTTTAGAGAAAAAAACAAAGTATAAAAGGATCGACAAAGCGCTTAACGTAACGTATTATCAAATAAAACTCTCTTTACGGGTTCTGTAAGAGTTAATACTACTAAAAATTGTTAGCCAGTGTATTTTACAATACTAAAGTTTTCTGCTACAGTAAAAATGTTGTTGTTTGGCACAATGTGCTTTGTTAAAAATGCGTTCATATTAGAAGAGATACAAATAAGGTTGTATGAAGGTAATATAACGATTCGCCCCACTGACGTTTCGCCTCATAACGACTCGCTCCATGACGATTCGCCGCACTGAAGATTCGTCCTTGACGACACGCCCCACTTTATATTAAACATTGTTTGATTGAAAATGTATATTAATTTATGTTTTGGGTATTTAAAGCATATATTTGTTATAATTTTGATTATAGACAAAATTTTATTTAGAGATTGAATGAAAAATTTCGTTTTAATAGAACTTATAATTACTAATGCCATTTGTGTTATTTTTTAATTTATCTTCCAGAATATATAATATTTCAATACATGCCTTCAGGTAGAAAAATGCATGATTTTTTACTACTCAGCAAACACAGAGGATATACATATATATTATACAACAGATTTTTATTAAATCTTATTTCTTTTTGGAATTATATCTGAGACAGATTGTCATTTGATAAAGATATAAAGATATAAAGATATAAAGATATAAAGATATAAAGATATAAAGATATAAAGATATAAAGATATAAAGATGATCAGATAAACAATCACACATATATACATTATATCTGCATTTACATTCTTCAGTTTTTTAAGACATTGTGATGCCTTGTTTGTTTGTTTTCTACCTTTCTCAGGAACATCGCTGTCTTCATGTCTAGGATAAGGCTGTCCACCATTACCTATTGTATCAAACTGATCCTCGAATGATGTGTCTAAAATATAAATTATTTAGTTTGATAAGTCAAGTATTTCTTTTTAGAAGTGTTCAAAATGAAATATATGCTGATCAATATACAAAGCTCGAAAACTGACAAGAAAACCCCTCATAGTTTGAATTTCTCAATGATTTTAATACGAAAAATGTTAATTATAAAACACAACGTAATATTTGGTTTAAAAGGATACAAATACCACCTCTATGTAGAGTTGTACATTTAATGAGTGTTGTTTACCATCTCATCTAATAAGAGGTTTATATCTAATGCGTGTTGTTTACCATGTCCTCTAATCAGAGGTGTACATTTAATGAGTGTTGTTTACCATGTCCTTTAATGAGAGGTGTACCTTTAATGCGTGTTGTTTACCATGTCCTCTATATAATAAGTGATGTACTTTTAATGAACGTTGTTTAACATGTTCTCTAAAGAGAGGTTAACCTTTAATGAGTGTTGTTTACCATGTCCTCGAATAAGAAGTGCACCTATAGTCTATAGTTTACCTTGTCAAGGTTTATCTTTAACAAGTGTTATTTACCTGGCCCTCTAAGGAGAGGTGGACCTTTAACAAGTGTCATTTATTTACCTTGTCCTCGACATATTTTACAGCACGTATTGGGTCTAAGAATTGGCTTTGCACAATTTGGTTTTGGACAATCTCTCTTGATATTTGTACAAACAACTTTTCCTTCTAACTGAACACGATGATGTTTTACAACCTGGACATAAAAAAAACAAAAACATTTTTCTTAGTTTTGATTTCGTCAATACAAATTTCATGGTCTTATGAAATAGTGTAATACGATTTGATCTTTTGTTTTTAGTGTGAAACTAAGAATACAAAATCATATATGTATTACTTTTGAGACATAAACATATATTTAAACACACCTGAAGATTATTACATGTATATGTTTATGATTTATAATATTTATAATGCTCTAATTGAAATACATTCATGCCAACTGTGAATAAATATTAACAGAGCGTTTATATCGTTTTATATACATGCAGTTTAATAAAAGGGAGCATTTACTATATGTAGTGTTCACGAAAGGTTCACATATGCTATACCTAGTGCTTAGTATCACACAGCAGATACATGAGATGTAACAATTACATATTGATTTAAAATCTTAAATACTTAATAATTCTTTGTCTGAATACATACAAACCGATAACTTCATGAGTCTGTACCTCAACACATTGACAATAAATTGACAAGTTAACAAGTAGGTGCCTGAGAACACTGATAATCAGGGACAAGCTAGTATGTCTGTACCTGAACATATTTACAACAAATTGACAACTATACTGTACCTGAGCACACTGGCATTTAACACACACCATTAAACCATGTGGACTGATGAAAGGGTTCCATCTATCACCGACCATATAAAACTGACTACCCAGCCAACAGCCTGAAATACAGTATGTTTGTCGTGTTAGTATGATATAAATATAGTATGATTGTCGAGTTAGTATGATAGAGTATGAATGTTGTGTTAGTATGAAAGAAATAGAGTATGAATGTCGTGTTAGTATGATAGAAATAGAGTATAATTGTCTAGTTAGTATGATAGAGTATGAGTGTTGTGTTAGTATGATAGAAATAGAGTATGAATGTCGTGTTAGTATGATATAAATATAGTATAATTGTCTAGTTAGTATGATAGAGTATGAGTGTTGTGTTAGTATGATAGAAATAGAGTATGAATGTCGTGTTAGTATGATAGAAATAGAGTATGAATGTCGTGTTAGTTTGATAGAGTACGAGTGTCGTGTTAGTATGATATAAATAGGGTATGAATGTCGTGTTAGTATAAGAGAGTACGAGTTTCGTGTGAGTATGATATAGATAGAATATGAATGTCGAGTTGGTATGATAGAGTATGAATGTGGTGTTAGTATGACACTCGTATTAGTCTGATATAAATAGATTATGAATGTCGATTTAGTATGAAAGATTACGAGTCTCGTGTTTGTATGATATAAAGAGAGTATGAATGTCGAGTAAGTATGATAGAGCAAGAGTGTCGTGTAAGTATGATAGTGTACGAGTGTCGTGTTGGTAAGATAAAAAAATAGCATGAATGTCGAGTTAGAATGATAGAGTATGAGTGATGTGTTAGTATTATATAAATATAGTATGCATGACTTGTTTGTATGATATAAATATGAATAGAGTATATATGCCATGTAAGTATGCAGTTGTTAAAATACAAGCAAATTTAGTTCAAACATCAGAGGATCATTTGTTCAATTTTTATTTGTCAGATTATACAAAAGTAAAAGTATCACGCAAACCTATAATTATTACAACTTAATCATATTACAATGACGATCTAAACATAAAATAATGTCATCCTTAACATGAAATACTGGTGCTCTAAACCTATAATACTATCGTTATCAACAAAATTAATGACATTCTTAACATATAATAACGACACATTTTACCTATAATAACGAAATATAAAAAACAAAATCAACAAGGAAGGGCGGCGTTCGATGAACGCACACCCTAAACATATAATAATGACACCCTGAACATTATGCCCCCTAACAAATGACACCTATAATATATTGACACACTAAAAATTTATAACTTAAAAAACCCTTAACATTAAGAACCTTAATTAATGACACCTAAACCATATAATATGGGCATTCCCTTAATTAATGACCAAAAAATTTATGACACAGTTAATAAAAATGACCCCAAATGAAACCCTAAACAATAAGGCACCTTAATTAAAATACCCCCAAACTATATTGAAAACCCTTTAAAAATAAACATACCCTTTAGGGAATAGCAGTTTAGGGAACTGGTTTAGACAGGATTATTTTGCCCAAAGGACAGCTAAACTTTTTAAAGGTTTGAACCCAAAAAACTTTTTTTCCTAAAAGGGCCATCATTTTTTGTTATAAACGAATTAATTACCCTTTTTGTTTTTGCCCTTCCATTTTTACTAAATTATTTGCTTTAAATAATCATTTTATATTCATTTTAAAATTTTAAAACCCCCTTTCATTTTGTTTAATTTATTTTCAAAACATAAGAAAAAACGGTTCTTTTTTTAAATACATTTTTTTAATCAAAATTAAATAATTTAAAAAAAAATTTACCAAAAAATAAGAAACCACTTAAAAAAATTTACAAACATATAATAAAATTTAAATTAAACTAAACAATATGACTTTTATAACATTAAAACATTAATGCCTAAACAAAAGGGAACCCTGAATTGAAAATTACCTTTTTTCCCCTTTAAATTCGCACCTAAAATTTACGAAAAACCTTAAAAAAATTTAGGGCCCCCCCTTTTAGGTTTGGGACCAACCTAAAAATATAAAAAGGCTTAAAAGGTATAATATTTACCTAAAATGACACCAAAACATATATGACACCTTTTACATTAATACACCAAAATAAAATGACACCCAAAAATTTAAAAGACACCCTAAACATATAATGACACCCCTTTACTTAATATAATGACACCCTGGGCGCTTTAATGACACCTTAACCATATAATAATGACACCATAAACCTATTAATCTATATTGATAACAACATGACTCGAAAGCTTTAAACTGTCACTATTTCTTACGCTTTTAATATGTTTCATGCATATTTTGGTGGAACAACAATCACTTGATTTTAGACATGAATGAGACACGGTCTGCTGGGAACCGTCAAAACCACTTCAGACAGATATGTATATAATAATGACTTTAAAATATGATAATAATACTGATTTCAGTAGAATGGTGAAGTATCTATATATATATTCCTATTGCATTTTTTGTTTGTTTTACACGAGTAAAAAATAAAGAAAGACAGAACAGCACAAGTCAATTTATGTCCTAAAAATGAAAAAAAAACACCTTTAACAACTAGATTTTCAGCTCAGGCTTCCAAAGATAGTGTGACGATTACACATGTCCTCTCTATAAGTTACAACTTAATAATTACGTGACTAACTGTTTTCATTTTAATGCTGAAAGTAATATATAAATACATACAAGTATAATTGAATATAAAAAAAAAGTGTAAAAGTGTATTTACTACAATTTTAAGATATAGACACACCTTTTTGTCAGTGCAATTAGTTATTTGTTTGACTATATTGACATTGAAACTTGAATAATCAGTTACCCTCGGAAACTGAAGTAATTTATACGGGTTTGAATGTACATGGGGTTTAAATTAATCGTATTTTAGGTCCGAATCATTATACAACTTTATACATGTACATATACATGTACTTTATTTCTATATTTTTCTAAATTTAACCTCTATGTTTTGTGTATGTGAAATCACTCATTGTACGGCTTTACATATTGAAATTGATAAACAAAATATAATAATCATCAAAGTTTGTTGACATTTGAATATGAAATTTATTAAAAAAAACAGCGCCAGATTTATGTAAATTATTTATCCACGTGCTGCATAAAGTAATAATACGTTTATAGAGAAATATTAAACAAGATTTGTCAGAATTCCGAACTTGTTCCTAGGCAGTTTACAATCCCGTCGTAATTACACTGTTCCACCGGTCTCGTATTAAGAACAGAACAGAACAGAACAGAGCTGAACAGAAGCGTTAATCGTAATAAAATACTGAGAAAAAAAGAGAAATAACTCCAGAAATTAATCAATCTCAGGTAAATATTGCCATATACTACATGTTTATCTACAAGCTATGATATACCTGGGTAAGTCTGATTAAACAGTGTCTGGGATCACGTGACTTTTGAGCACATCGGGTCCTGTTGATTCCAAGTTGAAGGTCAATACTGAATGTTGGCATAAAGTAAAAACAACAATATAAATACAACACTTGTACAGAATTACCCCAACACTTTGGGTAAATCGTGCTGTAATATTTCATAACTGTACGCATTTGTTAAGACTGGTCATAATGATTTTTTGTTTCTCCTTTATTTATTTTTTTTAATTTTTATATGTAAAATCACCCTAATAAAATTATTTTACAATTAACAAATCAACACTGTCTTGAAATATTAAGAAGTTCAGATTGATAACTATCTTAAACAAAACCGAAGCTGATCAACATTATATTATGTTTCATTAATAAATAATTGTTTTATTGTCTTTCAGCCAAATGCTATATAACATTATTGAGCATATAAAATATATGCTCTGTTCTGATGGTAATGTTGTTATTTTATAAATTTCTTAATAATAAATAAATAAATCCTTTCAATATATGATATGTCACAATCACGTTAATTTCACGCTCTGACTTCTATATTTTGGAAATTGTATAACGTAAATCCAGTTTGGTTTATTCGAACAAATTACAATCTCAATTTATATAATTATTTCACGTTCTTTATAAGTTATTTTCCTAGAATTTATAAAGTTTATAACTCATTCAATATTCAATACAAAGTATAAATAAATAAAACAAAAATTTCTTAAATTCTTAAATCAGCGTTTATATG